TCTTTTGTGGTATCTTAGATCTTATATCTACTATTGATAGAGATTTATATCAATAAAAGTTAAGTATTAATAACATTAAATACCAAAGACGTTTTAAATCCCTTCTACTCATTATCCTATAATTATTCATCATTGTGCCAATAGGATGAACATACCGCACGTGTTTCCGTATCCGGTTCAAACAAACTCAACAAGTCTTCTTATTATCAAAAAAAAATCATTATATCATCTTAATATATAGGCAGACTGGCTAAAACTGGCTAAAAATATATAAAATTCTAAATTAAATATATACATATATACAAGCATCTGTCTTGCAAAAAAATACCCAATTCCTTAACCTCTAGACATACAGCTGCTACAAATGTTTTGATTCACTTGCAAGGAGTTTATATACAGGGTGACTGGTGAATTACTATCAATATTTAAGGAGCATACTCGGTACATGATTCTCATTCGAATTATGTAAAAAAAATAGGTACTTAATTTTTGACAAAATTTCCGTATAAATAAATAAAGTGTGTACACGTTCCAAGTGTTCCAAGTGTTCCACGCGTCGGCGGCGTGCTGATACAACAACACGCCGCCGCGCGCGTATGTGTGAGTGTGTGTGTATACCTAATCTGTAGGGTGTTCATACGATGCGTAATTAATTACATAACTTTTGGTTAACTTTACTTAGAAGTTTATTAATATTTATGTCATATTAATTTTTATTTTGTCATATATGATCGTCAAATATCACGTCCTCAAGTATCGATAGTAATTCACCAGTCACCCTGTATATATTTATTGGCTGTATACTATAGATATAAGTGTCAAAATCAAACTGAATTTAAAAAAAATAAATAAATATAATCAATTTTATTATAAACTTTATATATATGAGAATAAGGTTGTTTTTAGTTTGTAGTACTAACAGCTGCGTTCGCACGCGCCGAGTCTTGTAAGATGCAACCATTGTAACGGTTTCGAAGATTAAGAAGATATTGTTAAATAAAGTATTGTATTAAATAAAACGTTACAATTAAATAAATATATGTATATTTCAAATAATACTAATATTATAATTACGAAAGTTTGTGTGAATGTTTGTTACTACTTAACGCTCGAACGGCTGAAGCGATTTTAATAAGATTTTGTATACAGGAAGCTGACGTGCAGGAATAAGACATAGGCTACTTTACATCCCGGAAATCAGCTAATTATTAATAAATTTAAAAAATTCATACTAATTTTCTCTTTCTATCTATATATCTATCTCTTTCTCTCTCTAGTACATTTTTTATAATAAAGTTCAACAGATAATCGATATATGAATAACGGAAGGGCACGTGCTATATTGTACTCGCCCACGTACAGCTGTCTCGTGCAAAGTGCAATCAAAAAAATAATAATAACGGCTGAATGATACTGGACCTTTGACTGTTAGAAGAAAAAAATAAAATGACGTAACTATCATATGAATTGGAGCGAAATCATTTGACATTGACGTAAATTTTTTTTTTTTTTTTTTTCATATAAAGACGAAAGTCTGAATTAAAATGATTTATAAATATTTTTGTTTTTATTATTTAATAAATAAAACGGCGAGAATCTACCAATATATAAATTAAAATGATTTATAGAATTTTTTTTACATATAACGACCAAAATCTACCAATATATATTTTTTATTTATATAGATGAAAGTCTGAATCCGATTGTTACAAATATACATATCGAAATGTTTTCTTTTTTATATACTAAAATCATAATATAATATTTCTTATACAAATATTATACATATATATAATAAATCACAATAATTAGTATTATTGTCTAATCAGTAAGTCCGGGGGAAAACACCCTCTAACTTAATGTAACGGTCTCATCGATTTTTAGTGGCGAGGGTTGGAGAATACTGTTCAACGAATAGTTAGGACAATATCCGTTAAACATTAACATATATAAATAAAACGAATATTTTAATATACTACGCATTATTATTTTAACATACGATAACATTTCAGTTACTTTACACCAATCATTAAGAAAAATATCGCGAAATATCTAAAAATGTAGATATTTTATTTCATTTCCTACATAATTAATAATTTTATTAATAATATTTTCGTATACTACGCGTTTTTTATTTTAACTACATAAATTTCGTTTACTTTAAACTAATCATTAAGAGAAATATCGCAAAATACTATCTATATGTAGATTTTTATTTAATTTCCTATATAATTAATAAATTTATTAATAATATTTACGTATACTACGCGTTTTTATTTTAACTACATACATTTCGTTTACTTTAAACCAATCATTAAGAAAAATATCGCGAAAGACTAGGTATCTAAATATGTAGATAATTAATTTAATTTCTTCTATAAATAATAATTTTATTAATAAAATATCTCTTAATATATATATATGTGTATAAATAGATCGATATTAACGGTAAAATCTAACCATATGTCACCAATTTCCTGTGGTTATTTTCGGTTCGCCACATGCGAACAATCCTTATACAGATTTAGTTACGTTACACAAAAATACATCTATATATATAAAAATGGATTGCTGTTCGTTAGTCTCGCTAAAACTCGAGAACGGCTGAACGGATTTATCTTATATTAGTCTTGAAATGTTCGTGGAGGTTCAGGGAAGGTTTAAAAGATGAAAAAAATTGATCCATTACTGGGAAAACCATAAAAACAGCGCTTTTCTATTTCCCATACAAACGTTTTTTTTTTGACATTAGATTTGACAACTAACTAATATGTCAATCATTCTAACAGATATTTCTTGATTATAGAGCGATATGAAGTTTTGAAGTTTCTGGTTAAATATAAAAACGTTACATTTAACTGTATTCTTACAAAAAAAAAAAACAGTTGCATTATCAATATGAGCTGTCAAATCACAAAATGGCGGGGATCCGTTCGGAAATCTAGAACACGGGGACAGGTTAAAAAAAACCGTTGCATTAAAAAAACCAGTCCTGCAATGTATATGCACTTGATTGATAGCACAAAGGAATGAAAATAAATAAAACCCTTTTTCAACCCCTGTTAAATATCTTAATACTAATTACTTGAATTCAGGTTGAGATCTTATATAGAAAACATGGTATTGTTTTTAATAATTCATTATTATAATTTAATTTTGTGAATATTATGAAATTATTCATTTATATTATATACATAGAAAGATTATTAATCCAATACATACATATATAGATATAAAAATTAATTATTAATGGAATAAATATAAAGTTAAAAAAAATATATACTTTTGATAATCTCGTCTGTCAGTTATGACGGTTGTAAAGTAACCGAAACTTCGTGAGTATGTACTTAGTTAAAATTAATTGAAAAAAACGCGTAAAACTGAAAAAATATTACATTTATTTCTATATATATATATATATATATATATATATATATATATATATATATATATATATATATATATATATAGATATATATATATATATTTAACAGTTACATACAGAAATCACATTATATATATAAAAATACTTTGCAAAACCCAAGCGAACCCGAGGTCGCGAGCTAGTATTTCGCCAAGTAACGTCGGGGAGCCCCTTCGAGACGAAAAAAGTCTCCCTCCCGATAAGAAACGGTATGCAACTGCATTGTTAAGATGAAACACCCGACGTACGTTTGTAACGGTTAAAATTATTAATAGCTAACTTAATATATATAGAATTTAATTATAATATAATATATTGTATGTTTAATATGTTTTTGTTTCATTATATGTGTTTTTCCTGCTAATTTCCAAGCTTTAGTGAGGATCTGCCTTACATGTTTATAGTTTTGGCTAATTGTTTTTACGACCCGCCTGACATCAACCCTCTTTGGGAATTAAACACCACGCTTGCTCAACACGGGTTGGTGATTTCGAACTTATAATTTGTTAAGTCCATGTTTCCTCACGATGTTTTCCTTCATCAGTCAGTGGTGTCTAAATACTCTTATAAAGTACATATGACTCGGAACATCACATTGGTACTTGCCAGGATCGAACCTGCCCTCATGCATGAGAGGCGGACCTTTAACCACTAGGCCACCACTGACTTTCATTATCCGTATTAAACCAATATTCCAATAATATAAATATTAATACGTCCGTCCTAACGGTCTTTACGGCCCCGGCTTAAAATCTGTTGCATATTGATCGGTTAACCGATTTATGCATTATCAAGCATTCATATGCTAATTAATTATATACTAAATATATTTTCTATAAAAAATAATATATTTTATTAAAATATGTTAGTAATTACAACTTTTTGGTCGATTCCGTTTCTCATTTTCAGGAGTGAAGGAACGTGAGTGTCATAAGTCAGAACGAAAGCGCGCGAAATGACGAATGAGTATTGTCATTTCACATTTGTCGTATTTCTGTGTAAATGTTTAAAACAATAATGTGTTAAATCACAACGAATTGTGAGAATAACGCCGCCATGATTTCACATAACCTTTGACGATGTGTGCTATAGGGCAAGAAGGTAAACCGGTCTGTTACGATAGTTTGATAAAAAAAATGTATTGTCACCCTTTCAACGGATAGGTCATTGTTCACTAAAGAAAGCCGTGGGATCAGTGGTTGTATCATTCAGGACTTATATTGGCTTTATAAACATTATGGGTATTGATTATTATTAATAAATAAATATTCTGTAACTTGTACGTCAATAGAAACTTAATACGTCAAATGTGTAAAAGTATAGTTAATAAGATAAAAAATGGTTAAATATCTTCTTCTACCTGGCAATTTCCCAGCTTTAGCCAGGGTCTGCCTTACATGTTTTTAGTTTTGGCTAACTGTTTTTAGGACCGACCACCTGCCTCACATCAACCCTGTGGGAATAATGGGTTAAATATATCTTAATATAATTAGAGAATTACCTAAATATTATTAGAGTTATTAATATAGTTAGACTGTTAATATATTTTTATTTAAACTTATAATTTTAATTCCAGACTCATCACTGATAGTTTCAAAATAAATTCCGGCAACAACGCCACTAAACGCAAACAGGACGAAGCGTTGACTAAGAACTACAGGATCAAAATGAATCCACACTCGTTGGACTTCAAGAAGTCACCGATGTCACCTATCAACACACCGAAACGACGGATCCTCGGAGAGATTCAGAGCTCACCGTTATTCAAACCCAAAGACTCACCGACTATTGAAAGGCTGAAGAAAACTCCCATACAATCACCTAGATCGGATAGATCACCTTTGACGAGCAGATTCAATAGATCGAATAAAATTACAAGGATATTCGAAGAGAGATCTAAATTCAAGATGTCAAATAAAGAAAATTTCAGCGAGACCTTCATTAAACTTGATGTTGAGGAAGAAACTAGATGTTCCTTTGAGAACTTTCCATCTTGCTCGAAGACCATGTCTCATTGGTCAATGGCTAAGGTAAATATTGAGTAGAATTAACATATTTATACATATATGTATTTTTATTGCTGTTTAAAACAAAAATTACTAAACAGATTTTGATTAAATTTTCCAATTATATAGCTTAGACTGAAGAATAATTTCCCTAAGTTACCATAACTTATTTAAAAAACTAGTAATATGGAGATTAGTTTGTAGGGATGCATATATGTATTTTTATTGCTGTTTAAAACAAAAATTAATGAACAGAATTTGATTAACATCCAATTATGTAGAATAATCAAAATAATGGTTACCGTAACTTATATAAGTATACATTATTAATTTCTTCCTAAACTTAACTCCTAAGTCTATTCTGACAAAATTGTATGTATGCATATGTATAAAATATCCTTAAAGCTAAACATAATTTATAAAATTACAGTTGGATTTCACCGATGCTCTGCCGAACAAGTTCGATACACCACAAAAAGAGAATATATATGTGCCCGAGAAAGATGTTGAATTAGAAACAGATTTCGACACCTTACATGATTTAGAAGAGGAATTTGACTCCCAGAACTTCGATACATGCACGAAATATGAAATAATATCCACAGAAAGTCCGGATATAATATCAAACGGTCGTAGAAATACTAGAAAGATCACATCGAGGAACTTCTGCTTCGGTGCACCGTTATCAGACAATGAGCAATCAACATCATTCAACAAACCGAATGAAAAAGCAACACGAATGCTCAACTTTGAGGACGAGAGCTTCGAATTTACATCACCAGCGGCCAAAAGAACTAATATGTCAGTCAAAAAATCATTAAAATTCAACGAAACACCTACAAAAAACTTATTAAGACACGAAAAGAGTGATTCAAGTATCGGATCTATGTCTTCACCGGTATCTACTAAACTAAGGATATATCCTTCGGAATCAACTACATCTATGGAAAGTGGATTTATATCAGAATTAGAAGAACCATTCTTGGATATCGATGAGATATCAAACTCACCGAAAATGGCAAATTTCAATGAACTTATATCTGGAACTATCAAAGAGAGCTTCGAAGTCAAAGAATTTAACCTACGGAGACCGTTACAAAGAAGTTTAAGTTTCAATCCGACTAAAGCAAAGGTTTCCTTATTTTCTATCGATGAAAGTCCAAAAAAGAGTAACAAAAGGTGTGATAGGGAAGATGATATTGTTTGTAACAAGAGAAGGAAATCTAATTGTGAAGAACAAAATGTAGAACAAAAGATTCAACGACCAGTTTTACAGAGAGCCTTCTCGGAGAACAATGCATCTATTATGTCTGCGTTGGCAAGATGTAAGTTGTACTATATATATTATATATATGGATGAAGATTGATGGATGGTTAAAAGTAAGATATTATACACATATATGTATATATACATACATATTATATACATCTTCTCTTCTACCTTGCAATTTCCCAGATTAAGCCAGGGTCTGCCTTACATGTTTATAGTTTTGGCTAATTGTTTTTACAATCTGCCTGACATCAACCCTCTTTGGGAATGCATTAATCAGTGATGTCTTATAAAGTACATATGACTCGGGAACATCACTTGTACTTGCCAGGATCGAACCCGCGCCCTCATGCATGTACGGCGGGCCTTTTAACCACTAGCACAACACTGACTTTATATACACATATATACATACTAGCTGCACCCCGCGGTGTTACCCGCGGATTTTCGGGATGTAAAGTAGCCTATATGTTATTCCTGGACGTCAGCTTCCTGTATATAAAATTTTATCAAATCGCTTCAGCCGTTTGAGCGTAAAGAAGTAACAGACATACACACACACTTACAAACTTTTGCAATTATAATATTAGTAGGATATATATATTACAAATCCCTTATTAACTTTCCATACTATATTACAGCTCATATATATATATTAATATATTATTTTTTCTTTCCAGCTGTGGTCGATCCAGATTTAATCGGTGACTTCTCCCAGCCCTTCGCACTCCCACTCACAAGCGGTGACCACACCGACCTCAAATCAGTTTCATGTGAAACATTAGCAGCCTTGCTTCGAGGAGAATATGATGATAGCATCGGTGAATTTAAGGTTTGTTACACTGATATACTATAGACAAGCTAGTAAAAAGCTATAATTAAATATATTATGTACTAACATTATGAATATGTATGTCTGTTTGTGTCAAACTCGGTTCCAACATATGAGATATATATACAAACATATATATGTCACATCGTCGGGGATAGTGCAAAACCGGATATCTGCATTTAAAAAAAATTATGATAAGAAACTTTAAACTGAAATATTTTCTGAATTAACGAATTTTCTAAGTATTTTTTTTTATACAATTAGCAATAAATTAAACACTAAATAAATACTAATTGTGAAAAAATTACCTATCCTATATATGTACTTTATAAGAGTATTTAGACATCACTGACTGATGAAGGAAAACATCGTTAGGAAACATGGACTTAGCAAATTATAAGTTTGAAATCACCAACCCGTCTTGAGCGTAGTGATTAATGCTCAAACTTTCTCCATGTGAAGAAGCTCAGCAGTTTGCTCTGATAGGATGATGATTATTATATATATAATTAATAATATATATATAATTATTTCCAGGTAATAGATTGCCGTTATCCATATGAGTATGAAGGTGGCCACATACTCGGAGCATTGAATCTATACACACAAGAACAAATCCTATCTCTCATGAACGAGCCGTTGAAAGCTAAAGGAACTAAACGGAATATTTTGGTCTTCCATTGTGAATTTTCTTTAGAGAGAGGACCTAAATTGTAAGTATTATTAATAATATTATATACTAGTTTATGTATGCGACTTTGTCTGTGTTCATTTAGGAATTTTTAATATATGTATAGCTGACTGATATCTATTCCGCTCTAAAGCCTAAATAACCATATACTGGAGTTTATTAAGTATTTTTTTCTTTTGTAGAGATTTAAATATCCTGTCCTTTCTATGTTCTAATCTATCTCTCCACCAATCTTCATCCAAACCCGTACAGCCGTTAGAGTTATAAATAGTGTAACTAACAAGATTTTCTTTTATATATAAAGATTTACATATCAATGTTTCTCAAAGTGAGTGAGAAGTTATGGGCTTTAAAGAAATCCAGATGTAACACAGGGGTTTTGATTTGTAATTTCATTTAGATAATATAAGTTATCATAGTTTTTCAGTAGAAAAAATAATTTATCATCTTAGTTTGGGAACCTCTGACATACAATCTGATTATAAAGAAGAATTAGTGTAAACACTAATTACAGCATCTATATTTTTTTGAAAGTTCTATCAGAAATGTTCGAGCCATTACTGATAAGTTATGTATTAGTAATGCTTGCTTGGTATTGTTATAATAATAGTATGTCAAGTGTAATGTAGGCAGATCACTTTATTATATTAGTTACTGTCAATCAGTTTGATACTTAGACTATACATACATGACTTTAATATAGATTTATTGTATTTTATTTATTAGTTCTAATATAAAGTTTTAATTCTTTTCAGATCCAGATTTCTCCGTTCATCAGATAGAGCTAAGAACAAAGAACATTATCCTTGCTTGGACTATCCCGAGGTATATTTACTTCACGAGGGCTACAGAGCCTTCTATCAACGCTTCCCGGATATGTGCACTCCGACCGGATATACCGCCATGTTGGATCCCCAGCACAGGCATCTATTGAGGAAGCACAGATCCTTACAGCCATCAACATCCGGTCACAGGCGGAACCGTCTACTTCTATAATGTGCAATGACGTCACGTCTATTTGGACGGCCATGGTCTACTTAACCATGGATTACTTGTGTAATATAGATATCGGTCTATTCGAAAGACCGTGGTCTACTCGAAAGACCGACGCTTAAACTATAAATATGACAAGAAAAAAACACCTGAACTACTGAATTAATTATTAGAATGTAAATAATGATGCCATATTAATTAATTAATAAAAATCTAGGTACAAAATATTATAAGCTGAATCCCACCTTTAGGTTAATTTAGGTTAGACTTAGACCTGGAAACAGAAGTTCTAGAAATTCCAGAAGTTCTAGAAATTCCAGGTCTAGAACAATGTGCCGTAGAAAACAAAGATTATGTAAATATACTAATAACGGTGGAAATAAGAAAAAATACAAAAAAATACACGGAAATAGAAATAGGAATGTTTTTTTTTAGGTTTTATTGAAAGAAAAATTTTAACAAAAACTAAGGCAATATCGTTACGCTTAAGAGGATTTTATTTTTATTATTATTTAATTAAAATTATGACTGTACAGTGTATATAACCCGACTTCGCTCATTTTTCTTTGAGTTTTTTTTATAAATTTTCCGTGTTTAATAAAATAACTATTTAGATACGGAAATGTACGCTTATTAGGTAATTTTTAAGTTAATTATGCATTTTAAAATTTTTTTTAATAATGAACATGTTTTGGCAGATTTTTTTGTGGAAAAATTCTATAATATATTATAATTACGTTAAAATAGTTTAGGAGTAAGTGGAAATTAATAAATTATATGAAAAATTTTTGAGTTTTTTTTTATAAATGAATGTATACAAGGCACATGGCATTCTCAAAGAGGATTGATGTCAGGCAGTCAGCCGGTCGTAAAAACAATTAGCCAAAACTAGTCGCAACATGTAAGGCAGAACCTGGCTATAGCTGGGAAATTGACAGGTAGAAGAAGAAGGTACAAGGCAAAGGAGAGTTGAAACGGCTGTCTAAAAAAAGGTTTTATTATATTAAATAAATATTATTTAAATTTAATTATTATTATTAACTTTTTTAAATGAAATAAATTCTTTTTTACTTTTCTTTTAAACGAGCTAAAAATACCTACCAAATCTTCGGGAATATTTTTTCATCATTCAACTACTTTTATGATGAACTGTTGACGCTGCGTGTGTAGTGACGATGATACTAGGAGTAAGGTTACTCATATCTATTTCAAGAACATTTCAATCAGTAAATAAAATCTGTTTAATGAATTTAGTCTAAGGAAAGATTACTTTTAAGTTTTAAATTAATATCTTTTCTTTATAAAATGCAAAAGATAACACCATGGGCGTACCCAGGTTCTGGGCCAGGGGGGGGCAAATCTTATTTTTATAAGCTAGGTGAGGTGGTTTTTAAAAATAAAAAAACTTAAATTAAAATAGATAATATTTTTTTCTATAAATTCTTTAACTAGATACTTATACAATGGCTATTTTAAAAGTAATTTTCGAGGGTCTTCAGCAAAACGATTTAGGATGCCTTCCGTGAAAGAATCACTCATACTTTTAACAAATTCTCTGTGCACACTGAGCATACAAAGCCCATTCAATCTATCTTCTGTCATAGTCGATCTTAGCCACAGTAATTTTTAGCTGTTAAAATATCGTATTAATAATACAAACAAATGGCAAAAAAATGTTTTCTTTATTTTTATCGATAAAAGTACATGATAAGGTACTTAGTAGGGACGTCAATATTATTCAGGGGGGGGCAGCTGCCCCCCCCTGCCCCTACCTGGGTACGCCCATGGATAACACGTTTACATTACGACGTGGATTGAATAATAAAATTAAAACAACCAAATCACAACAATAAGATTTATTAATTAAAATACATAAACTATTATGAATGTGTGGGTCTTGATAATGGATACTACAATACTGAATATTGATTTAAAATTATAAAGGAAGAAAATTGATTTGACTTGACAAAGATGGAGTTATAATTTGAATAGTTTCTTGTACCTTATATAACTCTATTTTGTTTCTTTACTCTCATTCTCTTCTATATTCTCTTCTTGGCATTCAACTATCGTCCTTTCAGCTTCGTCAATCGAACTTCTTGATAATTGTCTTAAAATACTTTCGAATATTTTCGGCGCGCTTTTCGTATTTGGCAGCGAAATGTCAGTTTGCGTCGGTACGCTCTCCCATCTCTTTTCCTCTTTAACCTCCAGAGGTAGTACTGTCTCTTTCAGATCTAATGTCAGATTCTTTTTTTTTAATTCCGTTTCAGGCATCGGTTTATCGACGTACAGCTCTTGTATTTTCTCTTGGCTGTATTCATACTCTTTCGATTGTCTTTCGATGGCTTTTGTGAGTACATTACCAAGTATGTGGGCGCATTTAATAATATTCTGTGTTTCTCTCGGTGTAAGATGTAATCCTTCATTTCTTATTATATTGTTGATCGTTTTAATGTTTTCTGGTGAGCGTTTTCTCGAACCTTCAGTCGAGAATTCTGAGAAAATAGATATTAGTTTTTAATATTAAAATAATCAAAAGAGCTGTGAACTTATACGAATTAAAATAATTTTCGTTACTTTTTAAAAGCTTTGTAAAGTAAGATATTTATATATATACATATATATTACCTAAATCCGCCAGGTCAATGTCCTCAGTTCTATAAGGTGTTGGACATTGGTCGTAGTATCTACTGGGCACGCTCGCCAGTGAGTTGTTATAGTTCGCCCAGAACTGGCCCCACTCACCGGAAGTATCCTCACGGAAAGTACTAACGCCGGTACTGAATGATAAAAAAAATAGGCTGTATGATGATATGCCTTTGCTTCTTGGCTGTATGACGTAATACCTTTGGCACTTGGTTTGACATATTGTTACAAGTGGCGCCATCTATGTTATACTAATGACACCACACTATAAACCTTACAATTATTATGATGAGTGATTATAATGAATGATAATACTGAACCATTGTAATGTATCAACATGAGCATCAACTTGTGTTTGTAAACTATACATACTGGCTTCACTGGGAGTAACTATGAACATTAAGAATCAAGACAAACTGTATCTTGAAACATAATAACTTTTTGATACATATTATAATATGTTCCTAATATTTTTATCAATAAATATATTATACACATATATTTAAAAACATTCCCCATAATAAACTAAAACAGATAGATTAATGAAAAAATATATATTTTCGGATTACTAGTAATCGAAACGTCGATAATATGTAGTTAAAATGTAGTTTTCCTTGAATTGGTTGCCAGTTGCCACCCTATATAATTACGTCCTCAATGGTAGTTCAAGGTTTGTAGTGTAGTATTTACCTTGAGTCGTGAAGGTCTTGACTGCGTGGTGATACTAGAGTTCCTTGTACAGCGCCCGCGCTGTCTGATGAAGCACCGGAGTTTGGAGACATGGAGGAATAGTCTAACTCAGTACTTATAGCCTGCCTGAAGAAAATATAATGCTTAAAAGACTTCCTTTTGAAATTTCATAGCACCTTAATTACTATATATATACAGGGTGACTGGTGAATTACTATCAATATTTAAGGAGCATACTCGGTACATGATTCTCATTCGAATTATGTAAAAAAAATAGGCACTTAATTTTTGACAAAATTTCCGTATAAATAAGTAAAGTGTTGACACGTTCCAAGTGTTCAAGTGTGGACGCGTGCGGCGACGTGTTGATACAACACCACGTCACGACACGCGTATGTGTGAGTGTCAGTGTATAACTAATCTGTAGGGTGTTCACACGATGCGTAATTAATAACATAACTTTTGGTTAACTTTACTTAGAAGTTTATTAATATTTATGCTATATTAATTTTTATTTTGTCATATATGATCGTCAAATATCACGTCCTTAAGTATCGATAGTAATTCACCAGTCACCCTGTATATATTATTTTTATGCAGAAAATACCTTTATTTAGTAAACATAAATTACAATTTAGTAAAAGAATATATTTTTTATTTTAAATCCCCAATAAAACGTCTGGTCAAAATGACCCAACGTCATCGTTCTTGCAACTTTTTTCGCGTCATTGGCACTTTAACTTACAATGCAATGTATTCTAAATCATCATCATCCTATCAGAGCCCACTGCTGAGCCTCTTCTCACATGGAGAAGGTTTGAGCATTAATCACTACGCTCGCTCAAGACGGGTTGGTGATTTCAAACTTATAATTTTATAGTTATCCTTAATGTTGTGATGATAACAATATAATTATGTTTATTTTATGAATGTTGCCGCTCTAGCCTATATTTCTTGATAGAAAAATATGTCTAGAACTTTTTTGTTTTAACATATATCTGTGTATATTGTCTTGTCTAAGATTAAGATAAAACATTTATATGTTCATCGATATTAAGAATTATTTTATTTAATTTCAAGCCGTTAATGTTAAGCGTTAAACGTTTAACGCAACCTTGTTAGAAGTTGCACTAGAAGTTTCACTTCAAAAATTGCATACCTGTAAGAGCTTGTAGAGTCTGTTTTAACGAAGCTATCACAGGTGACCGTGCTGTCGCTCTTATTGGTCAATTTCTGTTTTTCTTTCTTCTGTATGCTGCTGTGTAGAGAATGACTCTTGACTGGTTTCTTTGGTGTTGAGGTAGCGACCGGGACCACCTTCTTCATGCCATACTTCGATAGTGAATCTTCGAAGTCTGATACCTAGCATTAAGGAAAAAAAAAATTTAAAACGAATCCATTGCTTGTATTTTGATTGTTTAAAATTCTACTAGATGGCGCTGTTAACAAAAAAGGGGTGACAACTTGTATAAGCTGCTACAAACTTCTACTAGATGGCGCTATCCTTAATATCAATCTAAGATTTTATATGTATAGAAAAATTATATAAATTTTATTATTTCTAAAATCAAACAGAATAATGATGTACAGATAATTTATTTTACAAGAATTATCTATGTTTTTAATATATGCATAAGTATATAGAGAAGATAGTGTGTTGAATGATATAAATTCTTTATTATTTCTTTCTTATACATCTACCGATCATTACTTATAAAAGAACCTTTTACTTATAATCATTATATTTAAAATGTCTTCAACATAATATTGTACATGTTGTTGTCACTAAAATGTCCTTATAATTTCGGTTTCTTTGCTATTGAACCGAATGCCGATATCACAGTGCCTTTGGTCCCCGTAACATTGCTCGTTAAAGGCTGTTGAAGCAGTCCTGGTTGTTTGATGCTCGGTTTATTGGCTACATTGGGTGCTGCCTGGTCCCACTTGGATTTCCGTTTCTTATCATCATCGCTATCCGGCTTCTTCGCTACTCCGGTGATGAAATCAATTTTGGATTTCTCCTTCCGATCCTTTTCTCGTTTCTCCATTTCCAGTTTCTGGACCTTAGCGAGCTCGTCGTAGTATGATTCTTTACCCCATTTCAATGGATCGTATATTTCTGGTGGATAATTTGTATCTAGTTCGTTAATATCACAAAACTGGATTAGCTTCTCGTATATACTCGGATTTCTGAAATTCTTTTTATCTTGTATTATTTTGTTCATATCGTAGCCTTCATTCACCATTCTTGTGTAGAATTTTGTTATTTTATCCTGTAATTCCTTGGGACATTTGGCCGTCGGTTCCGGTGGTATAAGTACACTGTCCTCTGAATCGTCTGGATCCGATCGTGGTAGAGCTTCATCTGTGTCTGTTTCCATTGATAATCTCCTCATATCGTCCTGATTTTCCGCGTTAGGAGATAATTGTTCGTCATCAGATACTATAGTATCGTCTACGTATGAAACTAAACTTCGTTTTGGTGAAACTGGTGCGGACGCCGACTGTTTGGTGTCATCAAAGTTCTTAGGGCTGGTTGGAGCTGACTGTGTGTGATGTGTAACCGGTTTTTCGGGCGTAGGATCCCCATCTTCCATTTCTTCTTCACCTTCCGAGTCTGTGTACGTCGCGGTCAATGTGGCTAACGCTTGCGAAGTCATGTTGCTTATTTTACGCACTATAAGAACAAATTACACTTCTCTAGCAAAATTTCTGTAGTTTTCACTCATTAATATACTTATTTAAGGTTATTTCTGTTTAAATGTATTTGGTGTAAATACAACAACTGTCAAAGTATCTATCGTTGCAGTAGCGACTGTCAAGTGTCAATATTAAGAGATTTCGTTCTTTAAAAAACCGAAACTTATTAAAAAACCGTAATAAATAATACTAAATAAGATAAATTTTATAATTAAATACTAGAATTATATGTGAAAATAAGAAATAGTGTAATTAAAGTAATATTGGGTGCAATATTACATATTTTAACCTATTTCAGTAATTTATGGTTACAATTTATTTGTTTTTCATACATTTAATATTAAAATTAATTTATTATTATTTTTTTCGTCACCTGAGATAGATCCAAAGACATATCATCATCTATAGAAGTTCCTCTGCTCTGTGAGAGAGATGTTTTAAAACTCTTCGGTACAAGTCTTCGTTTTATAGAGTCCGTTGATTGACGCCTGTTGGTTATCGGAAGAGAGTTGGCTCTGTCGCTTCTGAATAAAATTAAACAATTATTTATATTAAAACATATTTAGTTGATAATATATAAATATATATATTTAGATAAACCTAAAGAAGAACACGAAAATATAATCAAAATATATTTATAAAATTCGACAACATAATGATAACTTACAAATTCTTTTAACAAATATTGATATTTTACTTGAAAATATGTACATTAATGGTATTCTCCATACATTTAAAACTCACTTCTTCAACAATTGTTTTCCTGTGACCAGTAACTCCAAGTTTTGTGTTCCTGAAGCCTTCACTGTCTTCTTGGGAGTTGAAGTTCTCGATCCTGGTGCAGATATCTTCCCTTCTGTTTCCTTCTTGATACTGCCACGTCTTGAGAACGGACCAGAGTTCCTTCTAGAAGACGTTCTTCTCGGTTCTTCTTCGTCTGAATCGTTCTGATGCATTTCTTCTGTTGTAAACAAGATTTTATCTATACTAATATTATAAAGCTGAAGAGTTTGTTTGTTTGTTTGATTGAACGCGCTAATCTCCGAAACTACTGAATTACTGAAACTCCGAAACTATTCGAATTGAATAATTCTTTTTGTGTTGGATAGTCCAGTTATCGAGGAAGGCTGTGAGCTATATAACATCACGCTACGACCAATAGGAGCAAAAATATAGTTATAAATGTGTAAAAAACGGGAGAAATTATTATAATATAAATTTACAACGATTTTTTTTTCAAAAATCTTAAAATAAGTTTGGATGATACTAAAATTCAGTTCATTTTGAATAACGCCATGTTATATTTGATTTTAATTTTAAAATAGTACTTTTAATTCCATTTAAGAGTACATGTAAAGAATAATTAAATTATAATTACTTATAGTGTGCAAAAATTCCTTTTTAAGCAACTTCAGTACATTTTCCAAGCCTGTAACTATATTATCTAGTGCTATTCAAGTCACTTACCGATGTTTCAACCTGGTTTGTCCATACGGTCTGTTTACACTGATCGTATACATAAGGGCTAATACTGGATACGGTTCAATGACGCGTTCATTGTGATGAGCGGAGCGGGAGCGGATAGCGGGCATGTGACCTACTAACCTTGTAAGGTAATATGTATGTAGTATTGTAGTAGGTTATAACTAGTAGTTTTAGAGTCAGTATGTAAGGCAGACCCTGGCTTAAGCTGGGAAATTGACAGGAAGAAGAAGAGAACTAGTAGATTTAATCGTGTAGTAATAAGATATTTTCTATTAAAATTATAACTTTTTATAAATTCATTTATATATATAAAAATTGTAATAAAAACTCATTCACACATATATGCTAAGAAAAAATATTACTTCGTTATTTGTTCTAATAATTAAATATGAATAATAATATCTTTCAAAGTTACTAATAGATATTTTTTCAAAGCAAAAACGCTTCCGCCTATGTTAAGTGACACCACTCTTAATTAAGGGTGGGCGATCAGTGGTGCATGAGACAGAACGGGAGAGTGGAGACTTATATTTGATATTATACTAAAAAATATTTTAAAAAAATATATCTATTACTCATAAATACAACATTGCCTTTAAAATGTATAAGGCGTCTTACTACTTCAACCGAAATATTAATTTATATATTTTTTTAATAATATGTTCTTAATCTTTTACGAATAGTCTTTAGATTATAAATAAACTACAAAATAAGTTAAAAAATCAGTTAATAACTCAATTTATTAGTACATATTTCTTAATTCGTAATTAATAAAAGAATTTATAGTTTTTTTTATAGTAAGTATTCTTTATTATATGTTTTAAGTCACACAAAATGCTTAACGTATCCTAAATATACGTTTTTCTAGTATAAGCTTATTAAAAATCTCTTTTTTTACAATCAACCCCGTCTCCACACATCTCTTTTCCCTTCATCGCTACTGAAGTAGTGTCATTGCTCATTGAGGCACGCATTTACATCTAATGGGTCCTTATTATGTTTGCTCTTGATTTAGGAATACAAGAAACCTCATTAAAATATAAAAAAACAACATATTACTATACTATTTACAAAGAAAAGACCTAGTTATTATATTAATACAAATACCTAGATGAATTTGAATAGAATTTGAGTATTAATCTCTCCGTTAGTAGGTCGATAAGATCTTTGTAAATTATTGTCATTATATAAATTATTAAGTCGTGTTGATACAAATAAACTGTTTTATTTTTAATTATTATTTTTATACTTTTATAAAAGAAACTTAAAGGGTCGGCCTCTCGTTGCGGAGGGCGCGGGTTCAAACCTGGCAAGTACCAAATGGAATGCGTGTGCTAAAATATTTTTATTTAAAATTTTTAAAAATATAATTTCACATGAAATTTTCCAGAGAGATCTAACATATAAACAATTTTATTTAATAAAGCTTATTACTCTATATTTAATGATTATTTTAAAATAAATTGTATCCTTATTTAGAACATTATTTTAGTTTGAAAATTCAAAGTATTGATAACTTACATTTGGTTGACGTAAAAATTTATTAAATTAAGGTTAGTTTAAAGTTTTGTCAATACATGGCGTTGTTAGCTCCATCCCTCGATTCTTAATCACTGATATTTTTTTTTTGTTTTAAGGATTTAGAAATAAATGGATAGAATTATTGGTAAAGATAGTAATTATTTACTTATACACTTTTGATTAATACAGTTTTTAATACGAACTATTGTCTACAAGTCTATATTTTCAATATAAATATATACATATATTATTATTAAAAACATCTGGTTAACGAGCTTTGCTCGGTATTTAGGAATGATTAGTATTTATTTATTTTGTATATTACGTTTAGGCATTTTAAGTGAACACGTTAAGAAGACACAAAACAATATAAATCAACAAATATTTTTTAGTCTAACCTCAAAACACTCATTGACTTCCTGTAACTTTACAACGCCATCTGCTGTTGCGTCGTTAAAGTAATTAGCAACAAGTAGTATTACTATTCGCCAATAGATGTCAGGAATAGTCATATTTTAAACGCATTTTTGTTATTTTGTTTTCATTAAATAACATTTTCTAAAAATGATATATTTATCGATCCCGAAACCCCTACTCACTAAATTCCATGAAAATCGTTGTAGCCAATTCCGAGTTTCTAATTATATATCAACAATACAAGGATTGCTCATTTAAATATATAAGATATATAAAGTGGGGAGTATATGTAATTTTAAATAAAGTCTACTAGGCGATAAGACGATTGAGAAAAATATTATATGTATAGAAGAAGAATTGACGAAATAAATATTCAATTTATTATTTTTCGTCTTGACAAAATTAATTGATCTGTTCTGAATTAATTTTATAAGTAAAAGTTGAATAATATTAATATTTATATACTATTAAATAATTATCTATTTTAAAAGCTTTCACGAATATTAAACACTAGCTTTCCGCCCGCAGCTTCGCCGCGTGGAGTTCGGTTATATCGCGTTTCCAAGAGAACCTTTCAAAAGTCTGGGATAAAAACTATCCTATGTTCTTTCTCAAGGTCAACTCTATCTCTGTACCGAATTTCATTAAAATCAGTTCAGTGGTTTAGGCGTGAAAGCGTAGCAGACAGACAGACAGACAGACAGACAGACAGAGTTACTTTCGCATTTATAATATTAGTAGGGATAACTTTCTTAAAGATTTTATGTAATTCTTGAAATTTTAAAAAATGAAATAAAATGTCACATGGTTATTCTTAGTACCTAAAAAACATATATGTATAATAAGAACTACATATTAAAACTTATAACCTACACCTAAGACTACATGATTGACCCGATGTTAGGATAGCAATACCATTCCATAGCTTGTGTGGTATCAGGAATCTTCTGGTTCACACGCTTGGTGTTCGTTCCGCGGAGTCAGCGGCGTCACTCGTTATATATTTTATACATACAACGATGTCGCCCGGCGATGTTCATGTATTTTTCATATGTAGCAAGGTTTCATATAATAATATAATTATTTATTTCATTTTAAAAACATATTTTACAAATACTTGTAAAATTTCACGAACAAATAAAAGAAATTATTATGACTTTGAAATTACGTAAAATCATATAAAAAGAAAATAGAGTTTATTTTAAGCTCTATTGCTATATAGATAAAGTTCATTTTATTTGAACGTTATGATTTATTTTGTTTTATTTTCAACCTTATAGTCTATATAATAAGGCTGCGGATGTTTCCTTGACCGTTGACACGAATGTCATGAGTAAATGGTGACCATACTGTAACTACTTTTAGGATATTACACATATTTAAAAAGAAATCTATAAGACTTTCGCGAGTTTTATTCATTCAAATGAAACTAATATTTTTTAGATATTCTACGCGGTTTATTTTTGTGAAAATATATGGAGTATGTATTTAATATTTATGTATAAATCCGAAAAATATTGGTTTCATTTTAATGTACTTATATAGATTTTGTTAAAAACGATTGAATATTATTAAAGTTTAAAAAATTGGTTGTTTGTAAAGTAGGTTTACGATCGAGATGTTTACGTGATAACGTCTTATTGGTGATACTCGTATAAGTTTTTGGGAAGTAAGGAATTAATGAAGATAACAATTTTTTCAAATTTTAAATTACATCTATCGTTTTATTCACACTTTTGATGATAATTTCCGCGTGACAAGTTTCACGGAATGTCTGGCAGCGCTCGAGATGAGACGGGAGATCGGTCCGTCTCTCTCTCGTTATACCTGCGATAGCGCTCGTGAGGTTTTGGTGTGACACAAGTTTCTGAACATGTCACCCGACTAAAACGATTTTAAAGACGTTATCACGTCAAAATCGAGTTAATTCATATTTTTTGGAAAAATATAAATAACACGTAAAAAGATCCAATTATATATATTCTAATTAGTATATGTTATATATTATTATAGCCTAAATATGTGTAATAATCTTTTATATACATATTACATATATATTGTCCTATAATATTATTCAATGACTACACCCTACTTTGTTCATTGAGCTCGTGAGGCATTGAGAAAGCGTCGCTTACAACACGTTAGTCAAATAAGGTTTTCATTTTAGTAACCTTGAAAATAATATAAAATTAATATATAATCAAATAGTATTATTATTTTTAATAGTTTTAATAGTTATTGTAAATTTTCTGTTAGAGGGATTATCTGGAGAATTTCCAGAGTACAAAACTATTTACAAATAAATTGAAAGAGCATTTTCCAGACGATGTCGAGTGTCATTTCATTAAAAGAGACATGATTATTTTATACAAAAATGGTACTGTAAGTAAGAAACTTATATTTTTTTCTTCACCATCGGAAAATAGAGATTTCAACGAATAGAAAACACACCAAATTTTTGAAAAAAGTTGATATTTTGACGGGTGATTTTTCCATTGAAAATGAGGCTGATTTTTCGATGTTTATTCAAAAT